AGATTGAGATAACATTAATCAAAGTAAAAAATGCCATAAAGACTTTAAAGAACAAAAAATCAGGGGACCAGGAGGAATCATTAATGAACTAATTAAGTACGAAACGGACAAATTACACAGAATTAAACACAAAATGTTCAGTAACGCTATAAACCTGAACGAAATACCCGATGAATGGTCCAAAGCAAACCTTGATACATAAAAAGGGAGATAAGAAGAAATGCGAGAACTACAGAGGCATCAGTGTGATAGCATGTATAAGCAGGTCATATGGAAAAATACTGAAAGGAAAACTGGAAAATCTATCTTAAATAAAATCGGAGAAGATCAGACGATGTTCACAGCAGGAAGATCTTGCATAGACCACATATATACACTCCAACAATTATGGCAAAATATAGACAAGTACACATGGCATTCATAGATGTAAAAAAAGGCATATGACACGTTCCCAGAAAACAACTATGGAACACGATGAAGGAAATCGGAATAACTCAGAGTTTAATAAAGGCCGTAAAAAACCTTTACAACAACAACAAGGTAAGAGTTAAAACCGGCAATAAATACTCCAACGAATTTAAGACCACAAAAGTCTTATTATAGGGATGCTCTACATCTCCGACACTGTTCAAAATATTTTTTTCGAACAAATAATAAAACCATGGAAAAGGAAATGTGAAAGGATGGGAATACCAATCCGGGAAAACTTCTTGTACACATTAATCTTTGCAGATAACCAAGTGGTAACGGCTCAAGATGGAGAAGATCTGTGCTATATGCTCCGAAAAGTCGAAAAGGAATACACAAAAAATGGACTGGAAATAAACCTAGAAAAGACCGAATATTTAACAACAGAACAAGAACCAGTGAGAAACTTGCAAATTAACGATAATAGGGAAATTAACGGCACTGAGAAATTCAAATAGGTAGGATTCATACTCTCAAAAAATGGAACCACCGAGCAAGAGATAACCAGCAGATTAGCACAGACAAGAACATGTATTAAACAAATGAACGGGGTACTGTGAGATAGACAGATCACCACAAATACAAAGAAGAGAATTTATATCTCTGGTACGCAGTATAATAACCTATGGAGCAGAAAATTTTGTAACAAATAAACGAGACGAATCCAAAATCACAGCAAGTGAAATGGAGTTCATGAGAAGAAGCTGCAGAGTGAGAAAAATAAATCGCATCAGAAATTAGGAGATAAAACGAAGAATGGCAGTAGAACAAGACATACTCAGCTACATCGAAGAAAAACGTTTAATTTGGTATGGACATGTAAGAAGAACAGATCATACAAGGTGGATATCAAAGATTTTGGATTGGAGCCCAATAGGAACGAAAGAAAGAGGTAGACCTCGAAGATCATGGAGGGATGAAGTGGACGAGGCCATGGAATGAAGAGTCCCTAGAGATGGAAAATGGCAGAACAGAAAGGACTGGAGACGTTGGCTGAAAGAAGGAAGGCAGCGACAGCTGTAAAAATCCTTATATAGATAGATAAAACTAAAACATAGATGTCCTTAATCCTTTAACAATTCATTATTAAGGCCTAATTCTTAAAAATGGTATTAAGTACAGAGGAGAAAGTGTTTCTTGTGGAGCATTTTTTTGAAGATTGTTAAAAAGTTTAAAAATACGGGTAATGTATTGTGCCAATAAAAAGAAAACTTAGGACATCCCATGACAACTAACAAAAACAATAAACATGAACGTGTTTTTGAGCGAATCTTGGAAAATCCAAAAGCCAAACAGACAAGAAGAGCGTTACATCTTGGCTTAAAACGAACTTTCTTGTAAAGAATCTTGAAGAAGCTGGGTGCATTTTCGTATGCGATTCAGGTACATTAAGAATTACATCCCAGGGATTATCACAGTGGGTGGAATATTGTGCCAGAATTCTTGCATTACAGTATGAAAATCCTGAATTTTTGAAATTTCAGACGAAGCATATTTTCATTTGTCAGGCCATGTAAATCGTCGCACAAATCGATTTCTGGGCTTTGCCAGACCAGATAAAGTTCAATAAGTTCCTTTACATAGCGCAAAAGTGAGTGTCTAGTGTGCAGTTTCGGGACACGGAATCATTGGTCTATACTTTATCGAAGAAACTGGTAGGCACGTCATACTTAATCAACACATGTGCATACAAATTTTAACACGCTTTATCCCTGACCTACGTCAATTTTGTCGTGCACGTAATTAGGCATTTCGAGACCAATTTTTCAGCAGGATGGAGCAACTTGCCATACTGCTGTCGCAGTTCGTCAATTTCTTCAGGGCATTTTCCAAACAAATTCATTTCACGATTTACTGACTTCCCCTATCCTGCACATTCTCCAGACTTTACATCTCCAGACGCATACATTTGGGGCATAGCTAAAACTGCCGTTTTTAAACGGGCACCACAAACCATCAATGTGTTAAAAGATGCCGTTAGAGCCTTCCTCGCGGACTTGAGACAACCTTTATTCCATAACATTACAAGAAATCTCGAATATCGGTATGAAGTCTGTCTTGAGAGAAAAGGAGCTCATTTAGAACATGTTATAAAGTGTCAATTATATGTATTTTTTAAAACAATAAAATAATTACAAGTTCAGTACTGTTTATTTTGGCTATACTGTATTACTAAAAAAGACTTCGACTTCGCAGAAAAACATTACAAAATAATGTAAATGCACCAGTTCGATGCCTGAGTATTACAAGGGTGTATATAACAAAATTAAAGAATCAGCAATTTTATGATAACAAACTTTTACAAATAAAAATTTATACATCTAAAATATATGCATGCAATCCTCTAAAATCAATCGAAAATCATGTGTGCATCTTATAAAAATATGAAAAGAGCGCAACACAGTCTCATGTTAATCATACGACTTTGTTTTTCGCAAAATTTTAGTGAACTTTCCAAACTCAGAATAACAGGGTCCTATGTAGGTTCAATTTTTGTATATACAACTTACTTACTGGACAAAGTCACATGTTTTTAGGTTAAGGTTCCCAAGAAATAGGCTCGTGTCTGATAAAATTTATCAGGTCTCTACCCCTCAAGGTAACAAAGATAGTTGCATATGCGACTCGTATCACCGTGTACTCATATCACCAAGATCGATCACAAGTTTCTGGAACCTGGTCACACCTATATGGAGTGTGACCGCAGTTTTGGATTAATTAAAAAGAAAAAACGACAAATTCCTCAAGTTTTTGTTCCAGCAGATTGGAAACGTGTTATAAAAAATACATCCTCAAAGTTTGTGGTTTACAGCATGACAACAGAAGATTTTTACCCGTTTTCGTTCGTACATGAAATAATGAAAGATCCTGAAAAGGATTTCATTGGTCAAAGAATACAATGGCGCAGTATTTCCTGGTTGGCATATTTTAAGACAGAAAAACTGGCTTTTAAGTACAAGCATACTTTAAACCAGGATATTGAGTTATCGATGTGTACTATGGGAAAAGCACAAAGTGGACGTCCATCTTTTAAGTTCTCCAAATTGAACCTTATTAATGACACGACGCTACCAATTAGGGATGCCAAATACAAAAATCGGCTAAACCTCTTGGACTACATTCTCTTATGTCACCAATCCTTTTACCGAAATTTGAAACATACCGGAACATCAATGGCAGATTAAAAATTGGAATCAGCAAAATCAGCTGCCAGCAGAGACGATGCCGACGCGAGTGATGGCGAAGAAGATATTTTCTTTTAGAGTCGATTTACGAATGATATTGTACTTAAAAGTTTACAAAATAAAGTTTAGTTGAATACTAAAAAAATGATTAGTAATACCTAACATCTGCACATGAACCGTTTTACCAGTAACATTTATAAACACCATGTCCCGATTCAAGTACTTTTTTCATTAATTGAAAAAAGAAAGGATGTAGTAAAACTAATAATATACCCTTATATTTTTATTATTTTATAGAACATTGTACAATAGACATATTTTAGTTTAATCATTCCTAGAATTTATAAAACTCAAACAACTTTGACGCTGATTATCTCAGAACTATCAAAACTGCACTAGGCCAATAACTGATACATTAGTTTTTTGTAAAAATCTAGTGATTGACATATGTTAACGACTAGTGTTTCATGTGTGGAAAAAAACTAATTATTATGTTTTTTAGCATATATGCCAAAACGACCTAAAACTGAAAACAATTATAAAAAAAGTATTCCGAAAACGATGTTTAAAAAGCGTTGGAGTTAATTCAAAAAGTTAATTATAAAGAGTCGAAGCATACAAACATATTTATGCTTTGTTGACTATTCCAAGGCCTTCGATACCGTAAAATGGGATAAAATGTGGCATATACTTAGAGAAATGTGTACGCCAGAACATCTAGTCTATTTATTACAAAAACTATGTAAATAATACTGCTAATTTTAAGAGTTAATAATGTGCCACTACGTCCTTACGAAGGAGAAACAGTAGAGAAGGAGGAGAATACATAAGACGGCATACGGTTATTTAAAAAACACTATTACATTACTAGAACGTTCTGAAGCTATTTTCTTGTGGCATTGTAAATTAATTATTATTAAACTGGGAATAAGCCACAATTAAAGATAAAAATACATTTATTGATGTTTCAATTTGTTTTTTTTTTATTTTGTATTTTGAGAACGATTTCCGAAGTGGAAATTGAAACGTCAATAAATGTATTTTTATCTTTAATTGTGGCTTATTCCCAGTTTAATAGTAATTAAATTACTAGAACGTGTTACAGTTTTTATTTCTACCGATTTCCAATAGATTTATTTTATTTGTAAAAAATAATATTATTTTAACACAAAATGATTAATAGCTAAATATCATACAAAATATATAAATCATTTTATTATTATTATTTGTGGTACGCTACTGATTTTTTTTATAATATTTGTTAAAAACCTTTAGGTATAGTGTAAAAACATATATTTATTCCTAATTACTTTTAATATATATTTTTAAACAGTGGTATTTAGAAATATTTGCTATAACTGACCTTAAAATGTGCCACATTGACTATTTTAAAACGTTTTTATTTCTTTCACTTCTAGTCAGTTGCATAATCAGTGCAATCAGTGCTAAAAAAGGTAAGTTCATGTATATATATATATATATATATATATATATATATATATATTCTTCTTTACGTGCCATATCAGAGTTATCCGACGTTGGCGATCACCATTGCGAAGACTTCTTGATCTTCTGCCACGTGGAACAACTGTCCTGCATTTGATACCTGAATCCATTCATGAATGTTTTTTAACCAAGAAACCTGTTTACTTTACACTTGTACTTCTTCTACACCTGTATGGCATTCAATTTTGCCCTTAAGGATCAGTTGTAATATTCTATATCGATTTCCCCTTACTACATGTCCCAGATAAGACACTTTCCGGTGTAACAGTCTTTAGCAATTCACTGTCTTTGTTGTCCCTCCTTAGAACTTCCTAATTAGTTTTTCTTGTTGTACAAGGTATCTTCTGCATCCTTCAATAAATTCACATTTAGAATGCTTCAACTCTGTTCATACTTAATACTTTTAGTGTCTTCGTGTCTTCGTGTTTATAAAAGAGTTTAAGTTATTGATATTCTTCGTTTTATTTCTATGTCTGGATCTAGTTGGTCGTTATGACAATTCCCAAATATGTAATTTTGAGAACCTTGTCAACTTGGACTGTATTTAATTGAAGCTCTGTATCTGGATATGGGTTACGCCTAAAAACTAACAATTTGGTTCTGTTTGAGTTTATTTTATTTCTCATTTCCTCTCCTACGTGAATACGATCAAGTAGAATTTGGAGACCTTCAATATTTTCTAATAGAATGACTGTATCCGCGTATCTAATTACGTTAAGTAGTTTCAAGTTGGTTTTAATTCCATATGGCTGTCTCTCAAGTGTCTTTTTAAATAACTGGTCCAAGTAAACATTGAACAATGCTAGGGACAAAATGCAACCTTGTCTGCTTCCTCTTTGTATATAGCAGTTTGATTCTAGTACAAATTTTTAATTACACGAATATCGTTGTAATCTATTCCCATATTTTTTAGCATCTGCTTTAATTTTATATGCTGTACTTTATCGAATACCTTTTCGAAGTCAACGAAGCATGCAAATACATATTTTCTTTGATAATGGCATTTTTATAGGATATTTAGTGAAAAAAGTGCCTCCCTAGTTCCCATGGCATTTTTAAAACCAAAGTAATTATCTTTGAGATCTTCTTTGCATTCGAGTCGAATTCTTTTGTGGAGTATTCGTGGAAAAAAATACGTCTAGGGAGGCTGCTTCGGTATACTGTCTATCGTTGAAGCTGCGACGTATACTTTGAGACTGAGTACTTGATGTTCAGTTGTGTGTTAGGCTCTAAATCTGAATTAGGCTTCTGGCAAGATCTGTAATTTTTCTGTTTCCTTCATTCGGGATTCCATCAGAAGAATGATTATTTTAATTCATTTATATGTTAGCTCTCTCTACATAATATGATATAAAGGAATGTTTCTATTATTTTATACCTACTAAGTAACTCATAGAGAGAGTAACGATTTTTTTCCTGTACCTATTTGTTCATTAAAATTTTTTTCAGCATCTTTAAGGCGGTTAATTACAAAAAAATTAAGCAAGTCTAATTTTTTACTTTCTTGTTCTGCTTATTCGTTTTTCATAATATGCAAAAGTTCTCTTCAATGTCTGATATTCTTTAAATAGCCACAGCAGCGTTTTTAGGTCCCTCTATACTTTTTCGTCCTATTCATCGATTTATCTCAAGTAATTCTTACTATTTTGTTTGAATCCCTTCGTCAATATGTTTTTTCCTTTTTTTACCTTTTTATACCCATGTGTTAACCGGATCTATTTTAAACTACCTTTTAATATTATTACTTGTTTTCCATTAAAGTTTTGCTAGTTAATCTTACCAGCACTTTCATTTCTGTTGATTGTACTATTCGTTTTGTTCTGCAGTAACTCTGGCAGCTGGGTACCTTCTGTACCTTTTAAAGTCAAAAAAAAAAAAAATTTTTTGACAATAACATATTATTCAAAAAACGGAGCAAATAAAACAGGAACTCGCGCAATTTTTTATCCCATAACTTTTTTCCAAGGGACCATTATTTAGGATTCACAGTATCTAAGATATGATTTTTCAAATTTTGCTACTCACACCATTTGGACCATTTTCCCTATTTTTTCACAAACATTGTATAACTTTTTTTACGCAGTTTTAGGTATATGCAATGGTACATTGTTAAAAAGAAAAAATAATTACCTTTAATATATACAGTGGGTGATCAAATTATTATGATCACTTCAAAAAACTTTATATTGTACTGTTTAATAAAGAATAAAACTACATATGAGTGTCTAATAATGTGAATATAATATAAAAATAGATCATAAACACGTTCTTTTACAAAATTTTAAAATTGTTTTTCTTTGACCTTAAATAACATTTTTTTTTTAATATTTTGTGTGACCTCCTTTAGCTTCGATGACAGCTTTGATCCTCCTTGGCATGCTTTGAATGTTTCTCAGGCAGTTTTCTTTTATTTTATCGTTTCTGTGCCGGGTGGCAATAAGTCTCTCAATTAACTGCTGCTTATTTGTGACAATTTCCTAGGCAACCCCCTCTTCATAAGCTCCCATAGATTTTCGATCGGATTGAGGTCTGGGGAATTACCTGGCCACTTCAGTACTTTAATTTTCTTTTTTTCCAGGTACGATGTTACTCTTTTTGCCTTATGGCACGGTGCTGAATCGTGCATAAAGGTAAAATCCTCCGATTCGCCAAACCAGTCTTTGATTTGTGGCATGAGTTTTTTTTCCAGAACTTCAATATACTGATGTTGATTCATCATTCCATTTACAATGTACAGCCTCCCTGTGCCCTTACTGCTGATCACAGACCATACCATAATCTTGAGAGGATGCTTTTCTCGCTCCACTATGCAATCCTTATGATATTTTTCATCCACTCGCCTTCGGACGAAGGCCGACTTATCCATGAGTATCTCCACTGTAGACTCATCGGAGAAACAAACTTGTGAATAAAAAAAACTATAAGATATTTTTTTAGGATAAAAACAGTGGTTATAGTGATTTAAACTTTAGTAGTGACGTAATTTACCTTATTCCAATCCTCAACTGTCCAATTTTGGTGTTCTTTGGCCCATTCCAGTCTCTTTTTCATCATTACTATGGTCAACTTTGGTTTTTTGGCAGGGCGACATGATTTGAAACCTTGCTCAGTAAGCCTTCTGCGGACTGTCATGTCAGAAACTGGCATACCTACCAGCTTCACGAATAAGTCCCGTGAGGATTTTTCTTGGCTTCTTTCTATTGTTTACGAATATATCCCTCATTTTTCTTTTGTCTCTGGGTGTAGTGACACGCTTTCGACCACATTTTTGGGCACGCTGGTGAATCAGGGGTTTGTTGGTTTCAATTTTTTTCTTGATATTGCTCACTGTTGCTTGCGCTACTTGGCATTGTTTGAGCTATCTGACGTTGGGAAAGCTTTGTATTCAATAAAAGTGTCTATATTTTCACCATTTTAGACACAGGGACGTCTTTAGCCTTACCCATTATGATTTTCTTCTCAAAAATCGAAATGTTTTGAAAATATCTTTAAAATTAAAACTGATATTCTTTTTTCACTCACAATCACTACTAATAGATTAATAAAACATACTACAAAGATAAAACGATACTAATCTTTCAAAAACAATACAAAAACATACAAATTCAGTTGTAAACTCCAAGCGTAAATTCACCACAATGTGTATGTTGTCACGTAATTTGACACAAATGACAGTTCTAGAGCGGTAAACGTCAAAAAAGTAAGGTTATCAGTGACAAAATATATTGGCATACTTAAATCGTATACCAGCATATAATTTTATTATAAAATTTCTGAACAAATATGAAAAACTTAAATTTTTGTGACTGATCATAATAATTTGATCACCCACTGTAGTTTAATGTAGAAAGTTTTTGGATCAATTTTAAGCAAGATACGGTTCTTCACAGTTTTCTACTTTTAGCGATTGTTGCTACAAATTGTATGGCTTTTTTTAAATCTCTCATTTAGGTCTTGCTTTTTATATCGTCTTGAGATCTACACGTCTTCGTTGTAATAATACTTTTATAGTGAATTAGTAATCTTTATTGATAACACTTACAATCACTTTGGTTATTTTAGCTTTGTTACGAGGAACAAACACGTCTTACGGCTGCTGATGATATAATTCGACTGTCGTCTTTATATGAACGTTATGAGCGCATATGTGGGTATGGATATCTGCACGTATAAAGCATTCATTAATATCCATCCATCCATCGATCCAGGGCTTCATATTTGGCGCAAGTAGACGTATTGTTTGGACCATCATGAACCCCTACCTTAATAACATCGTATCTATCATTTCTCTTTACCTTGATAACTTGATAATGCCCAAGAAACTTTTTATCTAATTTCAGACCAGGCCCAAAACTGTGTCCTCTTTATAGCGACTAGTTCTACTTCTTTGTTTTTTCTAGCTTCTTTCCTTCTCCTGTCATAACCTACTCTATTCTCTTCTGGAATTTTTGCAATACGCTTCTTAGCCTGAATTCCTTACTTCTCATTTTCTTTCCAGATAATATATCAAATGGTGTGCAGTCTATTGTTCTCTAGTACGTCGAATTCAAAGCTTGTTGCACTCTACTTAAATGTTTATACCATTTGGTCGGGTTTTCAATAGCTTCGTTAATATAGGTATTATTATAATCCCGATCCTTCATTCCGTTATTATTCTTCTAGAATTCCTGAAAATTTGTTGCTGTCTAGGTAAACAATCTAATACTTCTTTTGTCGTAGTGTTTTTTATTGGATATAACCACACAAATGTTGAAAAGTCGTTAATTATTCCCAAAATATATTTATATTTTTTATTGGTTCACAAAAGAGGTCCTAATGATCAACATTATCAAATTGGCTATAGTAATTTTGTTGACGGCAGCTCGGAAAAGAGATGCAGATGATCTGTTAAACCAATCTCTCAGGTTTCTAAGCCATGACGTTTTTCTTCGACCTGGCCCTCTTCTTC